GGCCAACCGTTTGCAGTGGCGCCACCTCGCACGTTTCCCGTGGTGCGTCCGTGGCCTCCACCTCACGACAAGTAGCAGCAGGATTTCGTCAACATGCTACCGCGGTTTACGTTCAAAAACTTCTAGAAAGTGGTGCAAACTAACAGAATCCGATGACAGTGTCCATTGTAAACTACAGAATGTACTCGTTTTATTCGAAAACCGCTTTAATAAAAACAGGTAGAATGGTGGTGTGATGTTGACCTAACAATCTTCAAGTAATGCAAGGTAACCCAGATACAAATCAACTCCATGTATTTTAAAATTCACAAAAAAGTTTTTTTAAAAAAGCATTAGTAAGGTTGAATGTGGGTTACTAAGAAAAGAATAAGTTTAGTAGTCAAGATGCATCTGCCAACCTGACTGGTCTATTATGTAGGCAAACCGTGGTAAGTGGTGGCTGCATTGACGACTTAGCCCTCACATACTTCGCCTTTTTCAGCCAACACACTACAGGCAGCAGCCCGATGTGCACGCCGACTTGAATGCGTCAGTTGTGGGTGCATTGATTCAAAATCGTGGATGCACGATGGCGTTGGAAATTTTCTTTGCGGATTCTGTCATTGCCATGGTGGACACGTTTTCCCAATGACGCACACCCAACCCGGAGTTCTTCCTTATCCGCAAAGTTCACAGATGCATAGTCAGGAAGTTGGGCTGCAGCAATTTTTGAAGGCAAAGAGAGTCGTGCTGGTTAGTTGTCTGGTATTCTTTTTCACGAGTAAATATACAGTAGAGATCGCTAGTCACCTTGGTGAGATTATGCGCCTTGAAATTAGGCCTTAAGGCAATAACAGCAATCAATGGAACAACGAAAAAATCTGATGAAAATAATAGCATTTAACTTGTAAATAAAATGCTGATATAAATTTGCCTATCTATGGTTGGCGTGTAGTGTCACCAAATTGGAAATTATTTGAAACAATCACCAAAGGCAGCACTTAAATTTTTTTAAACGAAGAAAGCAAGCTGGAATTACCGGTAAGTCTGAGCACATTTTACTGCAGTCCTAATATCCCAAGTCACTTGTTTATCGGACCACTGCTTGTCGAGACAAAGACTGCGGCTGTCGGTGATTCAAACTTGTTATCAGGATGAGTATGATTGTCAAGGCCTCAGATACTACCGAAACAGCATTTTTTTCGGATTGCGGTACGTCCTTAGACTGCGCTGGTCTCGGAGTTGCTCATGGGTGGGCCCCGGCTACCATTGTCGCTGTTGCGACTGGGGTTGGAGCCAAAATGACACACTGTCAGTTTTTTAAAGGCGCTCCTGTTGGTGTCCTTAGAAAAAAAAGTGGTTGTTATCTGGTACCTGGTCTTTGTCTTGCCATGATAATTTTGGCAAATCTTTCCATTGAGTTAAGAAAAGTCTTAGCGCTTTAAGGGGGTCGAAAATAGGGGTTGTTGGTCTTGCCTAAGTGTCCTGAGTATTTTCACCTTTTAATCTGAAAACTCATAGTAGACCGAAGCGCCTACAATCATCAGGGGCTCGGAAAAGTTTTCTGTTAAGCGTCCCATTCGGAGCCATATTCCTTTAGTCAGTGTCGGATGTCACATAGACCTGATGCTGACGTAGGGGAAACCTGTCTAACAGTTGTCAATCTGCAAACATTGTCACTTCCGTTTGTGTTGTAGAGCCCCAGCCGACAGAGCTGCATGGTTTGTAGTAACTGCAAAACCTCACAGACGTCACTGTGGCGGAGAACTTCCGATGGTGACACTGTGTGCAATGCTTGCGGTTTGTATCAGAAGATGCATGGGGTGGGTTATTTGTCTCTCTATCGGGAATTGCCCCATAAATTTGCTGTAAATTATTTTCAGCAAGCGTTCAGAGCCTTTGCTAAACTTTACACTCAAAAATCGATTCCTACATTTTTTGTAAATCTGTTTTATTGTGATAATAGTCAGTAAGGAACACTAATATGATCGTATCATGTGGCACTGACATTAAGGCGTCGTGACTACCATTCTTGTACTCATCCAAGGCAGAAACCGAATGACTTTCTTTTAGCGCTGCACGTTATCAATTCTCACCACTGAGTTTAAATTATAGGCCTAGTTTCTGTAGGAGTTGAAGTTGCGCAAGGTTAATTCTGCGGTTTCTCGGGCTTGTGAACTTCAAGAATGCTTTATTTTAGCAAGGAAAATAAAATTTTAAGTGCTCCCGTCTGCTGCGTACAGATGTCCTCCCAGCATGCTTACTGGGCCAGATGTGCACGTTGTCGTTTCGTTGAAACGTGGACCACCCAGCGGCCTCGACTGGCCGTCTGGGGCAGGAGGGGGCGCGGGGGCGTTGGGGGGGGGGGCCGACGCACCAACCCCGGAGGGGATGGGTGCTCCCCTTGAACGTCCCTGCGTTCAGGAAGTGGTTACTCAGTATGTGTGAAATTATTCGTGGTTAGCATTTTCGCAAACCACCTTTCATCACAATCGCAAGCAGCAAAATAACCATAAAAGTCGCAAGTTCAATTTTATCCCTAAATCGAAGACTGCAACCCCCCTCTTCGTTCAGTCAGCTCAATTATCGGCGTGCATTGGACGATAAGTACACGGTGAATGTCCCTTGGTGAAGCATTCTAGGCACTACTTCATACCATTTATTTAGAAAATTTGGAAATTTCTAATTTCCAGAAATTTATAAAATTAATTTTGTTTGCCGCTGCAACGATGGACCTACTGATAATTACAGACCCCTATCAATATAATTTTAAAGTTTTGTAATAAAAATTTGACATTAGCAAAAGTTCCACACTATCCCAGCTGTCTTGCTGTATCATGTGCTTAAGGAAAGCATATTATGAAAAATGCGTTTTATGCTTGTTGACATGAAATATGTTCTTATTGGTGGTCCAGCGCTCAAGACCTCTGACAATGCGTAAGGACTCCATTCAAACTCGCAAGCGATGCTACACCAAAAAACGTCGGAGTAATACCAGCACCAGCAACCGTAAACGCCTCCTCACAACTCACCTGTCGGTTTCGCATCCGATTGGCAGGCAGCAGGTGTCGATCTGTCCGACTTGCGGCTCACCCACCTGTCTGCCGGCCGGAATGTCCAGTGTAGCCCACTTCAGCTCAATGCAAACTCCGCCTCCCCCAGATGCAGTAGCGCTGAATCAAGGTTTGAAAGATTTCTCTTACCCTTGGTACACACATATTTATTCGCAAAAGCACCACTTTTTTAGACCACTTGGCCGTTTCGCGTGTTCTTTGACCTAACATTATTCATTCAATATGGCCCTGGTTCATGACGAAAATCGCATGAAATAAGTGTCTTATGGTTCCAATAAATTGGTGTCAAAAAGCCGAAAAGTCCGCAATCTCAGTTGCAGTCATCTTCATAACTGGTTAAATGGAGTAAAATATTCTGTTGTGGGTGGCCGGTGAAACCAAAACCGAGAATACTTTGCCAAATTTGGCATTGGCGTTTGAGGTAGGCGCATTAGCAGGCATTGATCAATTTGATGAAATTCTACTAACATTGTGTAACTTGATGTAATTAAGTCGCCACGGTCAAACGGAGCATGAGAAGGCAATTATTGCCCACTCCATAGCACAATTAAATGCGAGATCAGCTCTTAATTTACTCGACATCTATAACCTGCTTGTTGCAAGGCTTGTTTTATCTCAAAAGTATGGGGATATGCGCAGTTTTCTCCTGTAGATGATGTTAAAAATACTCTAAAATATCGGATGGACTTTCTTTTTTAAAAACATTCGCTTGTGGCGCAGTCTCCCTGTCAAAGATTCAACTATAATTTTTGTGGTCATAACGGATTCAGATGTGAGAAATGAAAGCACAGGGGTTACTTTCGCACATACACTTCACACTTCCGTGACTCGTAGCATTATTTCAAGCACGAATGGGAAATCCGTACGAAGAATACGGATTTTCAAATATTTGTATTATGTTCATTTTAGTAAGAAAAACGCAGTATGATTTTGAATACGGAATCCAGCAACAGTATGGTCGTCGGGGTTACGCACCGTCACCAATCCACGAAGAGCCCCAATACCAACCACTTCATGATCAGGTTTCTCATTTAGATTTCAAACCATTTCGTTATTCCCAGACAGACGGGAGCGCGTTAGCTTGGTGAGAAGTACCAGCTCGTGTTGTGCATTTTGGAGCATCGCTTGTAAGCAGGCTATCTTTTTATCAATCTGATTTGCAAACAAAAATTTTCTGATAAGCTAACTCTACTACCGCTGGCTGTTCGTCATTGAAATCAAAGTTGCATGACTACTTGAGCCATCATCAGACTGCTTATGAATATCGAATTAAATCTACTTTGACAGAATGTCTAAGGTTTAATTTCTGTATAAAACAACAAGTTATTTGGTGGTCACCTCGCTGGAAAGTTACAGTGTCTGGGAAACGTCAAATACTTTCATGCCTATATGTGTGTGGTCCATTTAACAAATTAGGTATAGCTGGGTACACATTTTATGGACTTTTAAAATTTAAATCCAGACATGATTGATGGGTTATCAATAGGTCATATTTAAATACTTTCCTTTGTAGGATTCAACCCTCGTTTACTACACAAATCTGAAGGTATATTTAACCCTACGCACTCGAGATCAAATTCGTCATTAGCCATCTAATCACCCGAGTGGTTTTCGCTTATTTTGAAAAATTATCTCACCATCTAGTGTTCTTATTTTACTGGGAAACGTAAGACATGTAAGTACCCTCTTAAGTCAATTACTTTATAATCATTGGGCCCATTGACTTGATGCCACGTGGCGCGGTGGTGACACAAAATTATACCAACAGAGCTGGTGGAGAGGACGGACACAACCGTTTACTTCAGAGCTCAGCCACGTTTGTCGTTGTGTCGTGTGTGGGTTTGCGCGTGTGTATATATACCTCGGATGTGTGAGTCATACGTGCGCTAACATCGAGACCCATGTGTGAGGATAATCCAAGATAAATATTCATGCGAATGAGGGGGGGGGTTGAGAGTCTGCGGGGCTGGCGACATGCTGCGAAAAGGGGAACCTTGTGTCGGAGGATAAAGCGACCGGATTAAGGGGTGCGAATAAGCACGATTCATAGCAACTTAATGCCACGTGGCGCGGTGGTTACACAAAATTATACCAGCAACGCTGGTGGGTCAAGTGACGTGTGCACCCAGTTGAGTAACTGCAGGAGAGATCATCCTGAGAGAGTTTGAATGGTGTACTTAAAGGGTCAGAGCCACACCGGGCAGACACGTCTAATTGCTTGGACGGATGGGATGATGTTACGTTTGGCCAGTAATGAAAATCTCGAGCCCGTGGAACAGAGACAGGACATCCCTCAGAGAGCCGTTGCAGTGTAGACTGAGAGCGAATGACTAGTCAAACTGTGCTGCCTTGAATGACCTTGATCCGGTAGATTAAGATGGTTAACTACAGGCAGAAACTCGGTGGGTAGCAGAAATCGTGTGACTATGCAATTGATATGTCCATTGGGATAGGACAATATTCTAAGTCGAATTGATCTTGGAGACACTGATTACCCAACAGGCAGTTCAATCAGGATAATAGGCTGGTTCTACACAATAAATAGTTACGAATCCTGTAGGGAAAATAGTTTTTCTGTGCGTGAGCGGGTTAAACCATTTTAGCGGGTCGAGTGAATAGGCAGTCATGTCCCAGTAGATTTCGGTAACAAAAGCGAAAAACTGGATGCGCAGACCACAAAAAGGAAATGTGACCACATACAGTTTTGGATTAAAATTACTAATTTTTATTTCCTTTGCACTGCAATGAGTATCAAGAACCGTGTTTCACATAACGGGTCCAAAGCACACGAAGCCATTAAAAATTTTTGTGTTTGCAATTTCCTTCAAAAATATAGGACTGTCTGATTTAATTTTAAATTGGTTTGCATGTACTCCAGTGTGATGACTAGATCTGCTTTAACTGTAAGTGATCACTTAGATGTTATTTTTAAGCCCATTTACAAAGGCACACTCCGTTAACGAATCACATTCGTAGGTGTGAAAATTTTGATCTAAATCTCTTTTGTTTTTCTGAATTTACCAGAAAAAAGGAATACGCCTTTATTGAAGATGCTCATGTTTGTCATCCGTGTTAAAATTTGAGCAGAACAAACATTTGCGGACAAGGTAATCAAGTCTAGGTCTTTAATTTAGGGTGAAACTAATAGCCGTTAAATTCCATGAGCAGTAAACACGTAATGACTACTGAACTTTTCGGTTGCTTAAAACGGCTGATAAAGAAATTAACCAGCATTTTACATCCATCACTTTATAAAGCTTCATAGATTTTGTAAAGAAACAGATTTGGGCAAAATTATCTTTTGTTGTTGCCAATCCTTCAAGCCATTCGTGCCATTAAGCGTAAACAAAAAAACAGGACCTGAGACTTTCACCAAGGCGACAGACAGCCAAGTTTTGCACTTGAACTTGGCTGTCGATTACTACAATTCTAACTTTGCAAAGCCATCATGATGTATGCAGGTTTAATAATGTCTGCGGACTATAATATCGTATTCCTTTTCCAATGTAACCCATTTGATATTGCTGTTTGGCAATGATCTTGACTGCACGAGCTTTTCAGCTGTATCTTTACTTGAATAGTAGTAGTTGCCTTGCGAGCTAACAATATTTGGTGCATTCAGAAAAATATTTTTTAACTTGACAGTCACTTGAAGTGTTTGATTAGCTTTTGTGGAAAGAACCTGCACGTTGCTCACACAATTGTTTTAAGAGTAATTGTTTATACATGCACTGAGAGACATAAGTTGAGAACAGACGACATCGTGGAAATAAAATCTTGATATAATGAAGATGCTCTCAGACCACCAGGCAGTAATTTTTGGGAAGGGTACGTTTTAGCATTGCGTGGAATGTGCCCCGAGTTTCGACACTTTTCTTTTTCTGCAAAGATGTTTGAGATCTTTTGAAACACTCTTAATGGTGTACAAAATTATTCACATTTTGAGGTCTAGGCCTCGGACATTTACGTAGCTCACACTGAGACTCCTCATTTGATTTCGAGTTATGCCTGGCAGCAACAGATTTTCTTTAAAAATATACTACTGTTTTTTCATCAGTACACACCATAAACGCAAAAAGCCAAACTTTTGTTTCATCGTAAATGAAATTCAAAATTAATTCGGGTCATTACTAAAAAGAAAAACGGAATTACAATGTGCAGTCAATGGAGGTCTGCTGGAATTTGATTTTCTAGATCAGGCGGGCACGCTGACACCGATAAGCTAAGGAAATCAAAGCACAAGCCACTTCTCATCTCTCGTAATAACATGAATCATGGTAATTTCATTTTTCTATCCATGAGGTGAAAAATGGTTTTGAAGACGCAATTTAGTTCATTTCTTTCTGTCAAAACTTTCAGAGCTCATTTAAAATGCATCGAAATAGCGTTAAATGGCAAACTGCAGCCGAGTTGTCAAGATTTAGTCTTGAAGTAATCCCTGAGTTATTATTAACGAAACGATGAATGCATTCAGCATCAAGGTCAAAATTTAGTCCAACACTTTTGAACCAACACAACTACTGTATAAATGGGTACAGAACAGAAGCATGGTCCAGACGCACGTCGTGGAATTCCTTTCAGCACAGCTTCCATACTCATTTCTTAAAAGTGCATTCAAAGTAACACAAGGAAGGTGTAACTGTCATTTTCCATTTTGAATATTGACTCTGTATGTGATCGTTTTGCGAGTTTGGATCGACCCATGACGCATTTAGACAAATGCCAGTTAATGAAACGACTTTAGAACCGACATCGGCACAATCAAAGTTGCATACTTCCCATCATTCAACCTGGAACGAAATTTGCGATCAGTCAATTAGTGGAGGGGAACAATTATGCAAAACGCTGAGAAGTCCAATTTAGATACAGATGAAGTGAGGGGTAACGTGTTTGTACTTTAACCGAGCTAGCAATTAATGTCTTTTTATCACGTTATTCGTTGTCTGATTTTAAACAAAATTTATTCATGGTTCCTATGCGCAGTTATTTTACTTCCAGGTTTGAGTAAGTTTCTTGAATTTTATTACTTTCTGTTACCAAATTTATACACTAATTTGAGTTTATTGGCACTAAGTGTCATTAATTTTGATTAGTGTAAGAGGTTGATCTTGTTCCTATAAAATTCATGGCCAAATTGTGTATAATTTTCCCATTAAACACTTGATGCATTAAAAGCTTTGACATTGTAACGGCTCTACCATTGGCAAAAGTCCGTATTTCTGCATGTACTGGTAGATATTTCCTGCATTTTTTAAAACCCATCATATTTGAACAGGATTTTGTATCATTCAAAATAATCCAAGTTTATCATAAGTAGTCTGTTTAATAACTCACAAAAAAAGATTTATTGAACTAACTTAACAGGATACCGTAGCAACAGTCATCTTCATCACACCTTCGCCTGGCAAGACAATATCAATTTCTTCAACCAATATGAAAAAAAGTCAATCCTGATTTTGAGGAAATTTGAAATCCTTGCATGGAACGTCTAAATGCATGAATTTGACGCAAAGATTTGGCGTTTCTGCGTGCCTAACTACCATTCCTCTCATACCACACAACTTTGCCCCATTTGCATAATCGACTTTGGTTTTGGAACCTTGTATTGAAATTAGCCAACGCGCAACCACTGTCAATTTCACAGCCTTCAAATTGGAACGCCATAACTTCCACAAGTCTTTCGTTGAAAGATTTGTGTTATCAAAATATAGGCACTTTAAAGGAAGTGAATATCAGGCGAATACTTTGTTAAACATGGATTTCATGTCGACTGAAAACCAATGAATAATTAAAGTTCAAATTTTTAAATGATTTTATTTTCTGGTTCAAGTGTTCTACTTTAATGACAATTTAATTGTTATAAATAGTAGCTAAATAACACGCACTAGTTTTGTCCTCTGCATTTAGTTCCATCTCATTTCATTGCTAAGCCTTTACTTTTTTAACGAACAGGCTCTCGAGCTTATGTTCATCTCCATCCAGAAGGTTTTTCTGCAATAACTAAACATATAAGAAGTTGAAATTAGCTGGAGTTGCATAAAAGTCTACAGACATAAACTACTGAGGCAGTCACGACCGAACATCAAAAGGAAGTAAGAGCCATAAAACCGTCGAGACATTTTAACGACTGGAAGAGGATTTAAATTAACACCATGCTGACTTCCGACAGAATAAGCAATCGAATGATTTTAGTAGAAGACGCGGTTTTCCGACTCATCGGTGATATCAGTCAAAATAAGGAGTCTGTTTATTTAACAAGAGAATATAAGGTTTGAAATAAACTAACATTATTGCACAGCGTTTGATTTAGAGCTCAGGTTTTCCGCAGGAATGAGTTTCAGCCAAAATTATGATAATTAGTCACGCTTATTGTGGCAAAACTGATTAATTTTTATCAAATTTATTGACATCAAGAATGTAGTATTTAAGGGCATAAATATGCGCAAACGAGTGCAGTATTTTTTTGGAGATACTTGACAGTTTATGTAATTGCATATATTTTAAAGTCATTTTAGACATGAATTCGATCGAAAAAATTACTGTGTGATTGTACGGAGTAGCTCAATCGTGGCTCGAATGGTTTGAAAAAATT